TACCACCAAATATGTAACAATCGTATTTTCAAAATATATGTGTATATATATATATATATCATGCAACGGTTATATAACGTACTTGAACGATTACCACATATATATTATTGAAATGACACGCTATTATTGCATTTTATTTGTATCACTATTGCCAAGCATGTTTCCATGTTTATTCTTGTTTGGAACAAGGCCTTTTTTTATTTTTTCTTTTTATCTAAATAAATGAACTTCATTTTTTTTCTTCCATTTGACTGCTTATGGTAGGATAAGAAGCCTGAATTTTGGGATGGAGCTGAAGGAACAAACCAACAATTGCAAAGGACAGATTTATCCCAAAAAATGAAAAGATTGTCATCTTTTTCTTCACGTAAAAACAGAGGAATAAGACGAATTTTCTTATTTTTCTTTTTGTCTTCAGTTCCCGAATTATTTTAAATTTTGAACATGTTAAAGGAGACCGTTGATTTTGTCCCTTGTTAGTTGGTATCTACACATTTAGAAATTGTTTATTGCAAAAATATGTCTCGCTTTGCCGACTCCCATGTATTTTTCCCAAATTGGCACACATCCGTTTTTATTTCTTCTTCTTCTTCTTCTTTTTTCTGCTGGACATAATTTTTTTGACTATTTTGTAAATAAATACTGATTCTGAATTAAGCTTCAGAATTATGTTTCTGAATCTATTTACTAAACGCACATTCATAATTTTGATACTTCATCCATTGTTGCTCAAATTTATTAAATTTTGACCATTTTTTGCACCTAACTTACAAATGATGGCCTAATAAGAGCATTAATGTTCATTTTTGTTTAGTTTCAATACAAATACATTTAAAAACTTGAACTTAATTTAATTATAACTTATACTTCAATCAAAATTTTAACATGAAATTTTAGTAATACCAAACAAAAATGATCATCAATGCACTTCTTAGGCCGTCACTTGTAAATTTAACACAAAAAAACCATCAAAATTTTAACGAATTTGAACAATAATGATTAAAAGTGCCAAAAATTAAAAATTATGGAGATTAATAGCCAATAAAAAAAAGTTTAAAGACTGAATTGCCAAATTCAAAAAATTTATGGGGCGTTCATACAAAATTTCACCAACACAATTTTGGTATTAGTCAACTTAATTATCCTATGATCCGGCATAATCTATGGACCCATTTTTATTTTACATTGTATCATCACCTACTATTTGTAAATCAATAATAACATAGCCAATGCAATCTAGTGGTGAGGTACTTTCCGGATTACTAGCAATTAAATTTATGGGCTATCTCATTGGTCTTTGATCAATACATCTGAATTGTCAATTATTTGTGTTAAGCCTTATTTTATCTCAACTATTGTCACATGTCATCGTTAACTTGAGAATTGCTCGAGATTTTCAATTGTCTTTTTTTTTTTTAATTTTATTTTAAGGATGACTGGTAATATCGTTGCTCACAACTTGACCTTGTTGGTCTTATAAGACATCAGGCATTCCTTATTTTTTTGCCTCAGCTTTAAGCAAGCTCTCCACCAACAGGTGCAGTTGATTTTTTTCTTCTTTTGTTGAATGAATCCTTAAAAGAAAAAAAAAATCAATAGTAGGATATGAAATATGAATTGATCATTCACTTTCCCCATCTTTCCCATTTGCCTATTTCAACAACTATTTGGTAAATACATTACAAAGAATCTAAAGTATCATAGTTATTTTTCCAAAAATTCTGTTTTGTTCATGGATTAGAACCATTTTCGATTTACGTGTATTTTTTGTGAGAGAAAATACTGTAACGAATCATGAACCATGATTCGAATCAGATAACGAATCTTCTAACTAAACAGGCACTGTACATTCAAATCATTATTTGGCGTATTCCAAAGTGCTTGAGCTTTGCACCAAGTTCACGTCCCCTGCGTTTTCTAGGCAAAAGTTGTGCCATATTTGGTTTATGGCATAAAATATTTAGCTTCACATTTGATATTAACGAAGCAAAATGAGAAAGAATCTAGCTGGAAAGTGAAAGCAAATGGTTGGTTGATTTAACATATATTTTGCTTTCCAAGAAAAAATACGTTTCAATTTTACACTCACAGTCTGGACGAAGCTGGCAAAAACACTCACAAAATCAGCCGTTGCCATAATAAGCTCATATTGCTTCTTTAGGGGGGGAAAAAAAAAAAACTCATATTGCTTGAGTTGTCAAAATTTGTCAAAACTTCTCTTCACTTCGCGGATTTAAATTTTTAATTTGAGTTAAAATGTGATATTTTTTTAGAACTTTTCACTATAGTAGAAAAAGTTAGATGTGACATTTTCTGAGAGCTTTTTACTATATAAACCTAAAATTGAAAACTTGAATCGGTGAAATGAACAATGTGTGTTTTTTTTTTTTTTTAATTTTTCCCTCAATTTTTTTAAAAAATAAAAATAAAAGCAAACAATCTGATTGTGCAATCAGATTGGCCGAAAAGGCAAAAACAAAAGTATGACCAGTATGTGGACAAATTTGGACGCTAATATAATTAGGCTATAGAATCTATTACTACTCTGGCAATTCCTTAATTTAGGCTAATTTGTGTCCTACCTTCCATGATACATTTTGGGATGTTTGTTTAGTTGTTCACAAATAAAGCCAAATTAAATACCCTGATATAATAGTCTAGAGAATGGGGGGTTTTTTTTTTTTTTTGGATAAGTATATAGTATGGATTGTTGAACCAACCAATTAATTTATGTAAAATTTGGCTTACAACTGTATAATCATGCTGGAACATGAGAATAAAATATGCCAATGCGTTGAGTCTTACTAGGGCTGTAAGAAATCACCCCGAACCCGACGAACCCGGCCGAGCCGAGCCGACCCTACCCGAAAATCACGGGTTTCTAATTTTTTATTTAATTTTCGGTTTGAATTATACCTAACCCGCACTGCGCGGGTAGGGGCGCGGGGTGGGGTTACATGAACCCGAGGTAACCCTACCCGGCCGAACATGTTCAAAGTAGGTAAAACAATGTTCAACACTTCAAATTCGTACTTTCATAAGTTTATGGATTTTATGCTTTTAAACTGTTAACTTATTTATGTTTTGGATTCACGATTTGTGTAAAAAATACTTGTATGCCATAGTTGTTGAATTAGGACATTCTTTATTTATATTGGAAGTGTTTGATTTCAAAGTGAGTGTTTTAATTGTTCACCTTGCATTTAGACCCCCTATTGAAGGAAAAACATGTTCTGTTTGATAATGATTTCTTATGTAACAAGCACAGATTAATTGACTAAAAAGTGATCATGTGGTCCTTGAGATCACTCTTGCTTTATGCATATTGTGATATGAGTTATTAGTCTTTATATTTTATTATGCCGCAATTTTGTTGTGTAATTATTTACTACAATAGTATTTGCATATATCATTTATTGCTCATTTACTACAATAGTATTTTATCATTTATTTGCATATAAGAGCCTCTTAGATTAAAATTGATGAAGTCATAGATTAAAATTAGTTTTCACCAACCCGAGTAACCCGACCCTACCCGAGGTCACCCGAAAGGTTGCGGGTTTGTAAACTTAAGAGAGTGTCGCGGCCCAAAATTTTCTCAACCCGCACTAGTCGGGTAGGCTCAATTTTTCGGCTCAACCCTACCCTACCCGGCCGATTTACACCCCTAAGTCTTACGATGATATTTTGTTAGATCTTCATTGACGTGTCAATCAATGAATTTATTATCTGTTTGGTCAGTTAATTAAGTAATAATTATTGGGCCTTGTCTCGTATGATTAACTTCTATAACAATGGTTTAACATATGTTACGTAAAAGAAACCATCCAATTTGTCCACGGGAACTAAATAATGAAATGGGATATTTACCTTTTTATATATTGTATTTTAGATTTATTTAAAAATTATATTTTCAGTTTTTAATTTCATCACATGTATACTTTAAAATTAGATTTAATATCTAAATTCATAGTTTTTCATAGTCAACCCTTAATTTTAACCTTAAAATCTAGAATACCCTTGATTAAAAAATTGAAAAAGAAAAAAAACCTAAAAAAACTTTAATTTTACGGGTTTAACCTCAAAAAAATGTAAAAAACCATGGAAACAAGTTTTTTTGTGTTATTAATTTTTAATTTGTTGTAATATTAGAAAGCTTAGTGTTTTTTTTCTTAAAGATAATTTTGTCATTTTAAAGATTAAAATTCTGAGATAAGGTATAGATTTATATATTAAATCTAATTTAAAAGTATACATTTAATAATATCAAAAACTAAAAGTATTATTTTTGAATAAACTTAAAACACACGGTATCAAAATATAAATATCCCTAATGAAATTTTGCACGTTGTGAAAAAAGATATTTCATACTTGTTCATTACTATTTTCTTCTTTTCTTCTTCTTTTGAATCGAAGAAATCACGCAAAGCAGTAGAACATCACTATAACAATGTAACAATTTCTATTGTTTATTATTGGAAAATTCTATTAGTTTTGCATAGATTTAGCAAATCGAGCTCTCCAGAAAACATCCAACGGTTACAAATACGGGACAAAAGACTAACAACACTACATTTTTATGGTTATTCTAATTTGTGTTGGCCCGTTGAAATATATATATTTTTTCCCATCGAATATGGTCCCACTAGAACATCAACTTTGCAAACCCTCTTTTGCAGATCCTGGATTAAAGATGACTTTTATTTTTCTTACTGTAATTTGTCGATCGATACAAGTGTATCTTTATTGCTAAACACTACCAAACGTGAATCGTTATAAAGTAATTATTTGAGCGAAAAACTCATTCTTATGGGTTCTTCAAAATAAAATCATCAATCCATCCCTCAACATGCCTCCCAAAAAAAGGTAATCCTTTTTGAGGAAAGACGAGATAGTTTCATTTGTAAACGTAATTGCTGCATAAAATAATTGCCATATTATGTTATATGTTTTAAAACAAAAGCCAGTAAATGATTCTATGGTTATGACTTAAAAAGAGAGAAGGAGAAGAAAACAGCTCCTTTATTTCCATAACTAGCGCACACCATTTTAAAAAAGAGGACTTTAAATCCAAAGTAGAGTTCACAAAGCAGACTACTGGTGCCGATATATAACCATTAGAAAAGAGTAATCACAGAACCCTCACAAAAACGACACTTCCAAACCAGGTAGAAAAGGAAGCATCGGGTGAGTGGACAAAACAACTCAGAGAGCCTTGAGGATGTCCTCGGCACTGGAGACAGTAAACTCTCCCCCGGATTCGACGTTGGCAGCCTTCACCTTCAGGTCATCTACCAAGAGAGCGAACCTCCTAGAACGGGTTCCGAGACCTTTCTCCGAAAGGTCAAGCTCAAGGCCAAGGGAGTGGGTGTATTTTGCTGAACCATCAGCCAGGAACTTAACATGCTTGTTGTCAGGGTAGCTTTGAGCCCATGCCTTCATCACAAAGGGGTCATTGACTGTGGAAACGTGAGAATCAGAAACTTAAGTTAGACATCCTGGTGCCATAACGAAAATGTGTCTTCTAAACTTTTAAGTTTTAACATTAATATCTGAACTCGGGATCGGACATTTTCACAAACTGAGCAAAGGGCATGCCTCCTCAAGACCTTTCTTTTGAAATGTCAAAGATGGATGAAAATGTGGCCTACTTAAAACATAGTGTGTTCAATGACCTTAAATAAAAGCCTAAAGGACGAAACATTAATGAGACGTTTAATTCATAAATTCAAAACCATGATTCATGATTCTGATTTTTGAAATTCAAATTTTTTGTGAGAGAAAAACACTGTAGAGAACCAAAAACCATGATTCAGAACCAGAGAGGAACCCTTGAAACAAACATCCCATAAATTTGGGTTTAATGCCTTAACCTAGTACTCATTCCATTTCATACTTTTCTCTCGAATAGTAATGAAAATCATGAGCGTTGTTGACTCTATATTTAATAATGCAAACGCCATAGTCTATTTGCCTTGTAGAAAATAGAACAAGCTTGCAAATGAGACATCTTAGCCGAAGTGTTGATTTCCTAATACATCACATGAAATGGATTCTTGAGTATTTAATCTAGACGAAAACACATTACATGAAGAGCCTGTTTGGTAAACTAGTTCAAGTGGTTTGAACCGGTGTTTGACAAAGCTTTTTACGTTTTGGTTCAGACCATACTTTTCTCTATTTCAGACCAAAAAGTTCAAACCACTACATTTAACAATTGTGAAACCCGCAGACTGACCAGCCATTTGGGTAATTCCTCACACAAAATGCCATCCCAACTATAATTGGTCGCAGACCTAGCTAAAGCATAAATCTTGGCATAAAATTCAACCCGGATCAACATTAGCATTCTAGAAAGTAGAATCTAATTTATTTTACCTTGGAAGGTCAAATAGAAACAACTCAACAAATATTATCCAATGATAGATAAAAAAAAAAAAAAAGACACAAGTAGATATACGGAATCTCTAAAGTATTAAATTACCCCCAATAATCAGCTATTAAAAAAGTCACAAGATGGGTTATCACATGGTCACAGGTGATTCTGTTTTTTTTTTTTTTTTTTTTCCCAATCAAGGACAAATCGTTAAAAGGTCAAACATGAAAACTTAGAAATGAAAAAAAAAAAAAAAGTCTTACCGCTGATGCAGAGAAGTTCATCAACGCCCTTTGACTTGAATTCCTCAGCTCTCTCAATGAATCCTGGTACGTGCTTCAGGCTGTTCCACCAAGCAAAAACCCATCGCAATCAGTAATTTCACACTTCCAATTATAAGATCGTTAACCAAAATTCACGACTAAAAACCACGCAGAAATGCGAAAAGCCAAAAAATTTAGCCACTTTTTTCTTATCTACTTTTAAAAACAGAGAAAATTTTCTTACTTTTCCTATTTTTTCTTCATTTTCTCAGCAACCAAACAAGTTTGATAAATCAGGATCGAGTCGAGACTCACCTGCAGGTCGGGGTGAAAGCGCCGGGAACGCCGAAGAGGACGACCTTCTTACCGGCGGCGAGAGAGTGTACGGAAACCGACTGGAGATCTCCGTTCGCGTCGAAGTAGCTGACGGTCCCCTCCGGTAACGAGTCGCCTACGGCAATCGGAGCCATTGCTGCTGATGATTAACGGTGCAGATGATCGCTGGTATCTAGATCGGACAGTCGAGGATAATCTGATGCGGAAATGGAACTTGTATTTCTTCAAAAAATGGAACTTGATCATATATTTATCTGGTTTGAGCAAAGCGTCGGGTTTTAAGGATCTACAATTAGCTGAATTTGATCAAGTCTTCGTGTCCGGTCCAAAATAATAATTATTTGTTTTATTTATTTTGGGATTAAAAATTCTCTGCATTAATTCGTGCTAAATATCAAATAACAAAAAAAAAAAATCTCCAAAAATTTAGTTTACTCATGGAAGTGTCAAAAAGGGTTATAATTTTCCCTTTTAATTGCTCTGCATTAATTCGTACCACGTCAAAAATAGATATTTTGTTACTACCAAACAACAACAAAAAAGAAAAAAATCGAGGTTAACGAAGTATTGAACTACGAACTACCCTATATTTTTCTTTTTCTTAATGTTATGCTTATTTTAAGTTCTATACTAAAAAAAAAAAAATAGAGAGAGAAAAAATAAGTTGTATCGGTTTTTAAATTTGTTTGTTGTTTTATTGGTGTCATTTTCAATCGTTTTATGTTGTTGTATTTAATAGGTTATCGTCGTTTTTCTTCGTTTAAAGTAGTGAGTTCACGTTAAAAATCTCTCCTTTAACATGATTCCTTGATCAAAAGTCCCGTTTTCTTTTAAATTGCTAAATAGTTCAGTCAAGATGTATTTAAATAAGCTATTTTTTAGATCAACAAAAAAAAAAAAAAAAGAGGTTATTTTAAAAAAAAAAATTAATGTCGTTTGAAGATGCATAAGAAGATAGGAAACGACATCACAGTCAGTTTTTAGAGATAAAAACGGCGGCAAGTGCATTCCATTAATTTCGACTTTAGTTGGTACTCGGTGAGGTAATTCCTACCGATGTTGTGGGTTTCTCAGACGTGTCTTGAAGTTGTTCGATTAAATTATTAATCGAAGTGGAATTCGTTGGAGACGACGTAGAGGGCCAACATTGTCGTTATGAACTAGTAATTATTATTATTATTATTACTATAAGAATAATAACAATTATTATTATTAGTACTATGGATAACGAACAAGTAATTATTGATAGTGGGGTTTTTTTTAATTATTTTATGTGCTCTGATATTGATAGCGTTTAGTATTGCAGAATTTTTAACATGCCCAACCCATCCACGATTAACAATACCAATTCAGGTTATTGTTGTCGTTTCTCTGTTTGTTGTCGTTTTTCTAAATTGTTGTCGCATTCAACATGTCATGTCGTTCGTTGTTGTTGTCTTTTTTTTTTTTTTTAATGCAAAACAACATTTCATTAATAACAAAGCATAAAGCTTACAGAAACCACAATACAGAAAACCTGATATAATAAATTAAAATTGGTAGATTCTTTAGTGTCTTAATACAAAAATAAGGTTCGATAGTAAACATAATTTAAAACACTTCACTGGACTCTTTTAATTCTTCTTTCACAATTGGCTCTCTCACAAATTTATTTCACCACAAAGCTTGTACTCTACAGGAACACATATGAGTTACCATCCAGCTCTACTAAGAAGAGCATCTTTTCGGGAGTCTGCAGCCATTATGGGGTTTTCGGGTTGTATCTTCAATGTATACAATTGGATCCGTCCGAGAATTGGTATAGCCCTCTCTCCAGCTCAAGATTGCCTGCTTCTTCTTTTTAAAGAACGTAAACCCTTTAACCTTCACCACTACTGATTTTAACCCCAGATTTCTAGACATTCTTCCAACATGTTCTGCAACAGCTTCACCAGAATATCAAGTCGTTTTTTATTTTAACCCTTATTATTCTAGACTTATGCCAATATATTTTAATTCGTTCTTCATTTTACTTATACTTTTACTTTGTATGTCGGGATTTTTCTTATTTTGTTCCCTTTTTGTTCCAAACCTTCTGTTTAAAAATTTTTCTAAGATTTATTCCTATTGATTTTGATCTTTGTGTATTGTCATTTTATCGCACTTTGTTTACTTATTTACTTTGCTCTTTCTGAAATAAATTCTTCTTGTTGTATCAGTGTATATTGATGTTCTAAATTATATTAATTTTTCTTACTTATGGCATAAATTCTTTAATAATATAGCCGGCAGCCATGTATGTTGCTAAATCTTTTTTCAATTACTCATGGTATATGTTCTTGACAATGAATGATTATAACCTGAAGCAAATATTTATATACAAGCTTATATTTTTTCAAATGTTTTCTGATTTTTTTATGCTCTATACTCAATTTATAGTATAATACGAAGCATCTATTTTTCCTGTACAGAAATTTAATGTTTATATATGATATGTTAGTGTAACTAAGTATATTGCAGAAATTATTTTATTTATATACTAATTTTTCTTACTTATGGCATAAGTTCCTTAATAATATTGCTGACAACTATGTATATTGCTAGATATCTTTTCAATTACCCATGGTATATGTTATTGACAATAAATGATTATAACCTGAACTAAATATTTATATACAATCTTATGTTTTTTCAAATGTTTCTTGACTTTTTATGGTCTGTACTCATTTTATAGTGTAATATGAAGCATTTATTTTGCCTGTACACAAATTTAATGTATATATATGATATGTTAGTGCAACTAAGTATATTGCAGAAATTATTTGATTTTTCTTCTTTTTTATAATTTGCTTTTTATATATTATATTTAGTTTGTGATAATTAAATATTTTCTTATTGTGTCTATTTTGAGCAGATTTGGTCTTTTCTTATCTCCATAATGTACTACTACGCTTAAATATCAATTGTTTCATGCTGAAATATATATATTATGATTTGGTTAGTTGATATTTGAATTTACACAGCGTCTCAAATATTATTAAAGTTTTATGCCTTTCTTTGTCAAATGTGCAATTTTTTATTTCTAAAAATTTTATTCTCTTCCGGTTATGATATTGTTATATTTCTTTTATTGTTAATATGTGTTGGCCGGTAATTGTTATTACAGATTTACCTATCATTGATGTTGCTTTTATTATTTTCGACTTATGTCAATATATTTTAATTTGTTCCTTGTTTTGCTTTTACTGTTACTTTGCATATCACGGTTTTTCTTATATTATTTATATATATATATATTTTGATTTGATTAACTGACATTTGATATTTACACAGCGTTCTAAGCTTATTAAAGTTTAATGCCTTCCTTCGTCAAAAGTTCAATTTTTTATATCCAAAAATTTTATTATCTTCCAGTTATGATGTAGTTATATTTCTTTTATTATTAACATGTGCCGAAAAATTGTTATTATAGATATAATTATTATTAATGTTGCCCTTATTATTTTAGACTTATGCTAATATATTTTAATTCGTTTTTCATATTACTTTTACCGTAACTTTGTATGTCACGTTTTCCTTATTTCCTTCTGTTTTTTTTTTCAATAAACAGTGAAACCTTTCAACTTAAAAGTGGGTGTTACATTAGTTGGTCCAGTTGATTATTTCTTAACGTTGGGGCGTGAGAACACTAATTATCCCTTATTTTACAGGGAAAAAAAAAAAAAAGAAAAAAAAGGCGAGAGAACAAACGGCCTTTTCTGCCTTATTTCAGACGCTTTTAATATATCATTACTTGCGCGTTGTGATTGTTTTCAATGTGTTATCTCCCAAGTAAGCTACAAGACAATGCCTATCCATAAATAAAGCATTGTGTGACTCAGATGGGAGTAAACGACACTGACGAGGAAGAATGAATGGTGATTAAGCAGATTCTTCTTCTTCTTTTTGGAGGGCAAGCAGCAACTCACAGTATTTATTGTTAAAAGAATGGACAGATTTTGGTGAATTATACCGACGATGAAATAGGATATGGTGAAGATGATAGGACATGGGCTGTGGGCATATTGGCTAGGAACACCCAACTTACTCTTTTCCTGAAACAAAAATGAAGTAAAATTTAACAAAATTTTTAAAATATTATAAATATAGCAAAAATGACATAATAATTATCATAATAATATTGTATCTTGTACTATTTATTATTTTAATGACATAAAAATATTTAAATCAAATATTTGCTATATGTGTAAATCATACAACAAAAATCAGTAGAATTTGGCCCATGCAAGTCTCCAACAAAAATCAGTGTAACAAAATGCATCTTCTATGCCTAAGTATATGTCTCTACTTTTTCCACGTCGCAATCCTTACGCTTTGGTTGTTCAATTGAACAAATAATCATCATCAAGTAAATGGGTAGCTAAATTTAGATTGATAGTTGCTTGCTATAATTTGCAAAAATATCTATTAAAATTCTATCCTAATGAAAGAAAGAGAAATATGTGTGTAATCACTCATGAGCATGACAAGATGCCTCATGCGTACTTTTTTCCAAAAAAAAAAAAAAAAAAAAATTTAAAAGATGAGTAAATTTAAATTATAGACAATATTGATAATAGATTTGAAATTTCTGTTAGACTAAACCTAAGAACACACATTAGTTATCATATAAAACATCGACAAATTGTTGTCTCAACGTTAATCAAAAGTATCCATCTTTTCTTCCTCTGCGTTAATTCTATTCTACAAACACATGTAACAATGCAAAGAATAACAAGAAGACCAGGGGAATTTCGAGCAAATTGATGAGACTGCCAAAGAAACCTCACATTTTTTCCATTGTGTGCAGATTATTACACACAAATTCAAAAGCTTATACGGGACAAATCAAAGCAAAAAAAATATATATATTTCGTAACCCTATCTAAATTTCCAGCTAAAATTTGCAGCGAAAGTGAACCAAATGAAAAATGGATCCCAATTAAAGCCATAAAAGCTATAAATATTACAATCCAATTCCAGAAGGCACAAATTATAAACCGCCAGGATTTCACAAACAAGCTCCAGCTAGAAAACACCAGAGAACATTGAAATAAAACATTTTCCCATCCACTGCATGAATTAATTAAAAATCAAGCGAGTCCAAACAGCCTCTGAGGTATCCGTCAAAATGACTAGCACTAAATGTAACCTTACAATGTAAATCAATCAAAGTAGCCCTTTAGCACAAATTTATTTCACCACAAAGCTTGTACTCTACAGGAACACATGTGAGTTACCATCCAGCTCTACTAAGAAGAGCATCTTTTCGGGAGTCTGCAGCCATTATGGGGTTTTCGGGTTGTGTCTTCAATGTATACAATTGGATTCTGATCCGTCCGAGAATTGGTATAGCCCTCTCTCCAGCTCAAGATTGCCTGCTTCTTCTTTTTAAAGAAGGTAAACCCTTTAACCTTCACCACTACTGATTTTAACCCCAGATTTCTAGACATTCTTCCAACATGTTCTGCAACAGCTTCACCAGAATATCGAGTCGTTTTTGATCCTTTCAATCCCGGCACTGATCCCAATGAAGCCCCAAACTTTTTGTTCCCCTTTGAATCCGTCACAGTAACAAAACTATTGTTACGCATCAGCTTTATGTGGACAAAATCAGCACTTTTCCCAGTGGTATAACCAGGATGTCCTGTGGTGTTCCTATCCTCTACCTCAATAATATCCCTTACAAAATTCATGGGATTCCTTAAGCCGCTCAGAAAATCATTCTGAGCATTAGAACCTATGGATGAAACGAAACGCAAAGCATATGGAGCAGTGGCGTTCCCCTTGAAAAGCATAATACCGGAACTTAATGCTAAGCTTCTTGCAGAAAGTCCCCCAACATGGAGTGAAATATTTCTCCTCACAATGTTAGCCAAGGATTTAGAACCGTCTTGTGAAATCTGTTGAGGACCTGTAACACCCAGAATGTAACACACACAATCAACTAAAAGGTAACGCAAATACAGTTGACCTGCATTAAAACTTCTTCGTTTGATCTAATCCATTAAACTAAATCCATTACACTTGCACAAAAATATCATTGAAGTTATCTCCAGAATTTTCTGAGCCAAAGACCAGATTTCTTGTTACAGGAGGAATATTGAAATTTGGGATGAAAGTAAGGAAAAACAAACAACCACTACCATACATCATTGTAGTTACTAGTTAGACTTACATATTAAACATTTTATCTTTTCTCAAGGAATCAGAAGAACCACTTTATGTCAACTTAGATGACCAACTTAAGAAAATAAAAAATGCGCAGACAAGTCCAAAAACAAGTTGTGCAAAAACCCAAATTCTCGGATAGACCTAGAGTCCAACAATCACACTGTCAAAACATTATCCTAATTGTTTGAAAAGACTATTCTAATAATCCAATTATCCATAAACAATCAATCCAACTCGGAAGAAGCTATTGTTATCCAGTATAATAAGTAGGACAAGGAAGTAGAAACCCTAATCTCGTCAAATAATACTAGAACAAAAACAGAAAATGGAAAAAAAAATCCATTTTATTAGTACAATTCGTAGAAAATCCATTTTATTAGTACAATTTGTAGAAAATCCATTTTATTAGTACAATTCGTAGTTCCTCTACAAATCAACTAACAAATTCAACTAAATCTCGAAATGATATTCATATTCAGACTCGGAAACTTCAATTGAGAGCAAAAACTCGTTGACGCTTCGTAAGTAAACCAACAAACGAACTTGTTCAAAGAATAGTTACCATATGTCGCCGGAAAAGCAGAGAAAGACCTCAAAGCAGTGAGATCGCCATGGTCGCGAGCGATGAAAGAGATTAGAGGCGAAGATCGACGAGCATGGCGAATAGAAGAAAGAGAGGAGTACATCCCTCAATCCTCGGTTTCTCTAGTTCCTGGAATAGAAGATTGCGAGGAGAGAGAGAAAAACCCTAAAACCTGCACGAGTTCGTCTGTTGTTAACAATGGTGGGAAGCGAAAGTCATCATATTAGGCAGTATTGGGCCAAAATGGATTTGCCTAAATTAGGTCCACCAATTTCAAACCAAATGTGTAAGAGACAGGAGAGGAGGAGGAAAATAGGGCCTAAAAATAAAAATAAAAATGAAAAAGCTGTTAGAAATCAAAATATGCGATTTGTTCAAGTCAAATTACATGATCATCGAAACCATTGATACTTACGCCAATGTACAAAACAGCTAAACATATATAGAAAACACATATAGAATCTGTAAAGCTCAAAAACCTGGATTATGATTCAATACAGAAGTTTGAGCACACGAGAAACCAATTCGAGACGAAAATTGCCACAATCTCGTATCCGTGATGTGTGTGTGTGTGAGAGAGAGAGAGAGAGAGAGAGTACCTGGTGCTTTATAGGAAGCAAAGGGGCTTTTGGCTTTTTGCTAAGAAGGAATCTAAAAGCGTGTGACAGTATACTTTTTTGCCCTCCTTATGTGTTTGTGATCGGTTTTTTTTTTTTCCTCTGGATTTGATTGTCAAAATTTTTTTTTTTTAGAAGCAAAATTTTATTTTTCAAATTACACTACATTTTTATTATTTTTTAAATATGTTCTTAGTCTAATTTCTACCGTTAAAACAGAAAAAAGCTGTCAAAATTTTCTAAGAATTTGTGTAAAGCAAAAAAAAAAAAAGTATCTAGATTTTAACCATCAAATTGTTGAAATCCTATAAAATGAAAAAAAAATGACAATTTAATAGATTTAATAGAAATTTTACAATTAAAGTTAGTTTTCTACTGATATATTAGTTTTTCGTACTCAACTAAAAAATTCTCTATTTTTTCAGCCAAAAAAAAAAAAAAAGAAAAAATTCTCTAGTTTTTAATGTTCACTGAATTTATTCAACGGCGAACATTATTTTTTTCTATTATCTAGAATAACATTTGAACCTTATAAGGCTGTTCATGGGTTGGATTGGTCTGGGGTAGCGCTTTTTTTTCCGTCCCGAAGGGTACGAGTTGCACATATTTAGCCCCAACGAAGTTAGAAAAATTTCACAACCCAATGATATTTGGGTTGGGTTGGGTTGGGTTGGGGCGGTGGGGGTGGGTTGAGAAGTCGGGTTCATGCTGCCAAACATAAATATATCTAAACAACAGAAATTTTAAAAATTAACTTTAACATTCAAAGTTCATCATCAAATAGAAATAATACTAATCAGTCCATAATCAAACAATTGTCAATTCAAAGTTCAATCCAACATTAAACATGAAACAAAGTAGTCCATCGACATCAAACATAACATAAATTTAATCAAAATTCAAATCCATCAAAATTCCAAAGCAAGCACTGCAACGGCATCTATCATTATCAGTCCACACTCATGTCAGACATTGCTTTCGAAGTAATTTCTAGCTTCAATCACACCAAATTCTTTTGAGAAAAGTGAAAGACAAAACTATACGTGACGTTTAATATGTTAAAATTATTTCTCAAACCAAACCTTATCCGTACAACTCTATCCACATTTCATGATGTTTCTAATGAAACACCTTTCCTTCTTGATCCATATATTATATATACATATTCACAAAAATGTAACCCCCAACAAATTAAAGTAAGTCGATTGCTTTTCAAGCCATTCCTGAGTTTTCAACCATTTCCGAAAACTGAAAAATAGAAAGTCAATCATGGCTATAAGACTTCCATACGTTCTGAATGCTAAACAGATTCTAAACCAGTCGAGTTTTTTTTTTTTTTTTACAAACCAGTTTATAATTTTAAAAATCTGGATCCATCTATGTTGAAAAGCCTTAAAAACGACATCAAGTAGTTCTTTTGCTGGGAAAACGATATAAATGAGTTGAAATTTATAGAATGAATGTACACAGAGGAAGCGTCAAGCTAGACAAATAAATACCGAAATATGTGCACAGAGCAGTGAAGAGAGAGAGACCAGAGGTGAGAGACGGAGAGAGCACAGAGCAATGAGGGGAGGCCGAGAGGCAAGAGAGCACCGGAGAAAGTCGGCAAGACGGCGGCCGAGAAGATTGAGCACTGAGAAGAGAGTTGTGAGGGGCTGAGGGGAGAGGCGGCCGAGAGGTGTGAAATGAGGGAAGATGGTTCGCGGTTGTGGATGGATCCTAATGCCAGCCTAGGGTTAGAACTTGGGCCCACAGTATAGCATTGTTAATGGGCCGAAAGTAAGCCTGGGGATTGAAGTTATCTCCAGAATTTTCTTAATGGCCCGAAACTTGCACAAAAATATCATTGAAGTTATCTCCAGAATTTTCTAAGCCCAAGACCAGATTTCTTGTTACAGGAGGAATATTGGAATTTGGGACGAAAGTAAGGAAAGACAAACAACCACTACCATACATCATTGTAGTTACTTGTTAGACTTACATATTAGACATTTTATCTTTTCTCAAGGAATCAGAAGAACCACTTTATGCCAATTTAGATGACCAATTTAAGAAAATAAAAAATGCGCAGACAAGTCCAAAAACAAGTTGTTCAAAAACTCAGGGGCTGTTCGGCTGATAACAAAACTAAAAAAAGAGCAACTTGAGTTATAATTTTATTCGAGTTCATGTTTCTTTTAGGTTTGAGCTCGAGTTTGAACTCGAGTTTGGGACTAAAACTCGAGTTCAAATTTTTCCTTCAACTTGAGTTCAGAAACTCGAACTCAAATTAATGAATAATATTTTTTCTATTTTTAAAAATGCTTTAACTTTTTCGTTTTAATTCTGATTGAGATTATTTTTCTTCTTATGCGTTGACAACGAAAAGACGAATAAAAACTCTACCCATATACCCTATTAAAATTTTCCATCAGCATTGAGTTTTTATTAAAATACTATCTAAATACAAATTCAAGTTTTGACTCACTCAAATACAAACTCAAAAAGATTTTTATCTCAAACCATAACTCAAATGTACACAACCAAACACAAACTCAAGTTACAACTTTAACTCAAATTATAGCTCAAATTTAACTCAAAAATTATACTCAAGTTAAACTTCAAAAGAACAACCAATTCTCGGATAGACCTATTGTTATCCAGTATAATAACATTATCCTAATTGTTTGAAAAGATTATTCTAATAATCCAATTATCGATAAACAATTAATCCAACTCGGAAGAAGCTATTGTTATCCAGTATAATAAGTAGGACAAGGAAGTGGAAACCCTAATCTCATCAAATAATACTAGAACAAAAACAGAAAATGAAAAAAAAAATCCATTTTATTAGTATAATTCGTAGAAAATCCATTTTATTAGTACAATTTGTAGAAACTTAGCAAAGCCATTTTGGCCCAATACTGCCTAATATGATGACTTTCGCTTCCTGTTAACAACAAACAAACTCGTGCAACTTTTAGGGTTTTTCTCTCTCTCTCCTCGCAATCTTCTATTCCAGGAACTAGAGAAACCGAGGATTGAGGGATGTACTCCTCTCTTTCTTCTATTCGCCATGCTCGTCGATCTTCGTCTCTAATCGCTTTCCTCGCTCGCATGGCGATCTCACTGTTGCTTCGAGGTCTTTCTTTGCTTTTCCGGCGACATATGGTAACTATTCTTTGAACAAGTTCATTTTTTGGTTTACTTATGAAGCGTCGACGAGTTTTTGCTCTCAATTGAAGTTTCTGAGTTTGAATATGAATATCATTTCGAGATTCAGTTGAATTTGTTAATTTGTTGCCCACCAATTTCAACCCAAAAGAGACAAGGGAGGAGGAGGAAAATATGGCCTAGAATTGTGACTTGAGAGGAATTAAAATTAGGAGATTCTATTTTATAAGGTTCATAGTATATGATAGCATCGCGTCTTTCCTATGTGGGATAAGAATTTATTTATTTCTCATTTGGGATAAGAGGCTTTTCAAAAAAGCACTCTTAGAATCAATTTCTCATTCACTTGTTCATCATTTGAAGTGTATTAATATATAATTTCGAATCTCCCATGGCAAAGAATTCAAATCCAAATGGACCCCTCATTAATACTAAATGGTAATACTCAAAATCAAGCCTCAAAATGATACCTTAAAAAGAGTCACCAAAGCTATATTTTCGATATAAAACTCTACATTTATATTTTTTACTAAATAAATAACACTAAATGATTTAAGAAAAAAATAAAATAATGTCCACATTATTGCATTACTTGAGAAGAGTTATTCCACCGAACCTTAGGACAAAAATGAGTGCTAAAAAAGAGGAACGTAAAATGAAGGGTTATTATTTTGATATTCTATGTTATAGTTAAATTAATACTCTGTGTTTATAATAATATTAAAATGGTATTTTCATTTTTAAAAAAAAGTTTTTTCGATACCTTAAGACTGATTTTTGAGATGTACAATTTAGTAGAGATTTGATTGTGTGCGTTGGTAAATCATGATATCCTTTTCGATTTCAAGGTTGATTTGTTTCATGTTGGGTTGGCTTACCATGCAACTTTCTGTACAATCCATGCTTGTATTTCAAGCTTAAAACAAAAATCATGTTCTGTGTTGCCTCTTTCTGTAGGATTTCGGTTTTGGCATGTATATATACCAATGATTTATTTGCTGAGTGGCTTGTGGTTAATGAGTAAAAGTCCATAAGCTTTTAGAGCTATCAGAATGAAGTAGTAAATTCAAAATAGTTGGGGTCATGTGAATGCTTGGTTAATTTTTTTTTTTAAACACATTTTTGTGTCTCCTTTTTCTTTTAATGGGTCAGTTAATCAAGAGGTGGGAATAATGGAGTAATGGTAGCTCTCTACCCTCCCCACTGGGGAGTTATTATGGGTCTGGTAGTATGGCTCTTAGGCATGACCACCTCATTTTCCTTGTAAGTTTGATGGTGATTGAGTTTGACAGGAATGAGAATGATGTACTGAAACCTTTTAATGGCATATGGTTTTTGGTAATAGATGTCATAATTGTTGTTGAAGTACTCACTTGGTGGCTACAGTTTCATGCTTAGGATAGTGTAAGAGGTCTAGCTTTATGCCTGAGCCTGCAAAGTAGATCGTCGGAAAATGTAGGCTAGTCAGAAAAGAAAAGATAAAATGTGACAGAGTGGCGATCTTTGGAAATGAGGGTTACAGGCTTGGCACGAAATGTAACATCATTGAGGGATTCAAATGGAGGCAGATTCGAGGGCACTTTTGAGGATACGTGAACCCGCATCAATACGGCTGTTTTCTTGTAAAATCATATTAGGGAATGATTTATTCTGCCATTAGGGATGTGAATATTTTGTTGCTCAACGCCTTGGGGTGGGTTCTGATATTTCAGATTATGACCTTAAATCTGTTGGCTATCCACAATTTTGTATTGAATCGATCAAGTTGGCTTAAATGTATGTATTGTCATTGTGGTAGTTAATATTAGAACGTACAAGAAGTCCATAATTATAGAGAGAAAAATAGTGAACAATGACTGTATATGGGTCCTGAAATAGTAGCAAGGCACAAGCTTCATATGTAGTTATGATCCACCTATAAGGCAGGCGGGATTAATTCAAATTGTGGAGGAATAGGAGGGTTAGGCAAAAGATAGCACGTTTGATAGTGATGAAAAAGACTTAACTGTAAATACAATAGTTTTAGAGGGCGTTTAGTTTATGTATTCAGAATTATAATTCAGAACTATTCTCGTTTTACGTGTATTTTTTTATGAGAAAAAACACCGTAAAAAACCATAAATCATGATTTAAAATCAGGAACGAATATAGGAAATAAACATCTCTTTAATATACCTAAGCGGTGCCAAAATATCAATTAAAAGAAACTTTTCTTTTCTGGAGAAAGGACAGTAGCGCATGCCACATGCCCCAACTATTTTGTGATAAATTCTTAGATGACTTTAATTGCACAGTATTTCACTGTCCTTCAATTGTCAGTCATAACTGATGGTTTGAACTTATCAAACCAGTTAAACCGGCCTAAATTGGTAGTAGCTTTGTATTTTCTTGACGTTGCAGTTAATGAACGAACACTAAGAGAATGTTTGGTAGAGGGATTCGTTCCCTGATTCGAATCATGATTCGTGGTTCGTTACAGTATTTTTTCTCATAAAAAATATACGTAAATTGAAAATGATTCGAATCACATGGTTTGAATTCTCTAACCAAACGTCCTCTAAAGCTAGTTATGGTTAGTTTCCTTTATCAAGATACGCAATACCATTATAAAGTTCAAACTGAACCAGTTATGTGTTGAACTTGTTTGGCGACATTATTGGACTATTTAGGTAGTGCATGCTATCAACCATGACTCGGGCGGGATCACGGCTTCCTAAGGCTGCACAACATTTGCGTCATAATGATAATTTGCCTTTTGGTTTGCCTCGCTATCTTGTATTAGAAGTTTGGCGTTTGTGTTAATCAGCAATTAATGACTTTTCATATTTCTCCCTTTTTGGTGGTGCAGTGCGTCTGGAAGGAGAGGGAGGGATGGCTTTGCATGGGAGAATTCTATGAATTATTATTATTATTTTTTCTCTAGTTTTACTTCTAGTCCTGAATATTACAATGTTAACATTGTCACTCATGAAAGTCATCTTCCTTTTAGCTTTGTAGCATTTGGAGACCAAAAATGTTTCAGTGTCAGCTTGTGACGACTGGTAGAGGAGTAATGTTTCATTAAATATAACTTTTTGTTTTGGTACTCATGTCACTAAGACAATTTAATTGACTTTAAATGCGAGGATAGAATTTTTATTTTATTTTTCCCGATCTGCATTTATTTTCAACTTAAAAGTGGGCGTTACACTAGTGGGTCCAGTTGATTATTCCTTAACGTTGGGGTGTGAGAACACTAATTATCCCTTATTTTACAAGGAAAAAAAAAAGGCGAGACTGCCAAAGAAACCTCACATTTTTTTCATTGTGTGCAGATTATTACACACAAATTCAAAAGCTTATAAGAGACAAATCAAAGCAAAAAAAATATTTCTTAACCCTATCTAAATTTCCAGAGAAAGTGAACCAAATGAAAAATGGATCCCAATTAAAGCCATAAAAACTATAAATATTGGGTGCGTTTGGAATTGGTTCCAAAACGTTTTTATTTTCTGTACGAAAATGAAAATGAAAACGTTTTTAGTTTCATTTTTGAATTATTTCTAAAAATGCGTTTGGTAGTTTTATTTAGAGATTGATTTCAGTTTTAAAAAAAACTGAAACTGCGTTTGGTGGTTTAATTTTTGAAAACATGTAATAATATATTAAATAATAATATATTAAATAAATAATAAATAAATA